CATCTTAAGAAACAAATATCTGGCTACCATATGTCTTTAGAATAAAAATCAGCCAAGGCCTAGTACAATGGTCGGCAAACTGCGGCTCGCGAGCTCCGATTTGCCGCTGTTGACTAATGAGTTTGTCGACCACTGGGATAGGGGCTTAATCATAAGGAAAAACAGCCTGTAATTATTGGAATCGAGAGTCTAGGTCAGTGGTCGGCAAACTCATTAGTCAAACTCATTAGTTCTCAATCCGACTTCAGTGGTCTTTGGTGAGTACTGTTGATCTTTCCCTTGAGAATTTGAGTCACAGGGACACTACCTGCATGTAGGCACTATGGCAAGGAGACACAGAGCTGAGAACTAGGTCTTCTGCTTTTGTACTGAGTCCCCTGCATTCCCTTTGCTGGGCCAGAAATCCCGAGGGGCTGCAATCCACTAGGGAAGGTAAAACTAGCCAGAAACTCAAAGTCCCAGCATTCCTCAGGCTGCTGAGCACACCCACAGTCTAAACTATCTGTGCTCTTCGTCCAAAGCACTGCACATTCCCAGCCTCCACAGATGCCCTCAGACCCAGCTGGGTTATGACCAAACATGAGGCTTTATCCTTTGTTAATGGCCTTTTCCCTACCCACACAGGCAGTTAGGGAACAATAGATTCCATGGGACACTGACTCGGGGGAGAGGTTACAGAGAACAGTTACAGATGACAGGAGGTCAGTAGGAGTGAACTCTCTTCCTGGCTTTCTTCCAAGTGTCAAATGGCTGTGGCTGTGGCCTTTAATACATTGCTCTTAAAAAGTGCGGACTCTATTCAGATTGACATAGTCTCACACAAAGGATGCCCTAGCTATGTTCCCTTTGAGTGTAGTGACATTGATTTGTAAAAATCTTTGAAATCTTCAGTTTAAATGGCCAACAACACACAGTATCATAGCTTTATTATTCCTCAGGTCCGGGAATATCTTACCTGAAACTTTCCAAGGAGATATTTGGTTCCTTTTATATCTAGGAGATGCCAATAGCCAAACTATGGTCTGTGCAACTGCATGAGGAATAGAATAGTAACAGGGAACCATTCACATGAGATCATACTCTATAAAGGTAGTGGGAATACAAAATCAAGATTGTCTTATTTAAGGAGGAGAACAGAAAGCAGGTAGCAACTGAACTGAACTGGAAAGGGCAAGGCTGAATAGCTGAACAGGTTCTGAGTAGGAGAATCTGACTTGTATAAAGAATCTAAAATAAATATACTGTCAAAGGACAAGTGTTCAAACATGCACAATGTCAATGGCAGCTGAAGCCAAAGAACCTGCCCAGGTCTGCCTTTGCCCTGCCACAGGTCCTGGAGCAACCCCTTCATGTTTTCCTGAGGATGGCTACTGCCAGGAATCAGTAAGTATGGAGCCAAATCCTCCTTTATGCTTCCCTCTGGGCATTGCATTTAAAAATTCCCCAGAGCCTGTATCTGGCATAAATTAAGGTGTTACAAGTTCCAAGATTCATCAAAACCCAAGCCACATATCCATTCTGTTTGAGTTTATTGATCCTGGCCATTGTGTGGCCTCCTGGGAGCACAAATGAAGTATCAGGCTGTTAGCTATGGTCAAAGAGGACTTGTCTCTTACCTCTTGGATAAGGAAATTTATTCTCATTGAGGCCGAGGAGATACTTCTAGATGCATCATTTACATCTAATACTTTTACCGCCTATGGAATATAAAGTAATTATATTCTCTCAGAACTAAATGATGATGACAATAATCACTCTATGAGAAAGATTTTTACAGGTGCTTTTTCTCTTTTAACCCCAACCCCCTCAGAAGCTGAGTCTGTTGGTGTTATCAATGACATTTAGCAGGAACTCAGGAAACAGACTAAGCTCTAGAAATATATAATAGAAGAAAAAGGGGGAAAAAAGCACAGAGAGGAAAGCAACCAGTCTCTCACATTGGGGGACACGAATGCAGAATTAGAGCTAAGAGCCCTTTCACAACAGGCATGAACTTTCCAGCTCAGTACTAAACCAGACTTGAGCAGTAAGACCAGGAAACCCTTGGGAAGACACTCTTGTAATGGCTTTGTCATTAATACACAGGATTCTGATATCTCCATTCAATGAGCCAAAGATAATTTGGTTCTAAATAAGGCTGTTGTAACCAAGAAAAGACCCAAACCCTCATAATGCAGCCCTAGTCACTCAATTCAAAACCATGCAGTCCTTAGATACCGGGTTTTCATGAGGAAAATACAAGGGTGAGGAGGAACCATCAGCCATTCCAATGTGGCAGCGAGTAAAGGAGGAATCATCATCACGTACATGATGGTTTGCAAAGAAGTGACTCAGAAGAGCTTGTCAATATGATGTGGTCAGTAGTATTCATTATCCCATCATGCCAGCAAATTTAACCATTTAGTTATTTCTTCCTTTCCCTTCCTGCTTGAAGCTACTAGCTCCTTAGCTATTAAGGCTGGAGTCTAAATGAAGGTTGTCATAGGACTAAGCTCCTCTCTCCCCCACTATGTTTTTTCATTTTAAATCTCTGCCCCAGAGTTTCACTTCCCTGTATGATGGAATTAAAAGTGTCTCACAGGAAGTGAACAGATCTCCCAATGATAACAACTATAGACTCTTGACAAAATAAAATAAAATAAATAAATGAATAAATAAATGAATAAATAAATAACTACCTGAAGGCACTGATGACTAAACAAAAAATCAGGTGAATTTTGGAGATGTCAAAACTTCAAAGAAGGAAATGGCACAAGATGAATTTCCATTTTTATGGCTTTTAGGCTGATAGTCTGTTTGAAGAATCAGAGCAACCAAAGCTCCTGAAAGTGAGGGGAGAAACCTCAGAAGAAAGAGTCAAAGAAAGAGAACACCAAATTCTGTGCATAGACTCTGCTCACATCTCTGGTTGACCCCTAAACCATACGTGTGGGAAAGACTCCAGCTTAAAGTAAAAATAAAATGAATTGAGATTTGAGCTGCTGCCCAAGACAGTTTACAGGTTGAGTCCAAACATCAGTACTCTTCACAGAAATACAAAAGAATGTACAACGTAATCATGATACAGGGAAATATGAAGCAGTTATTATCAGTAACCCGCCATTACTGGTGTTCTGATGACAAGTAAGATGCTAATTATAAAATAACTCTTATTCAAAAGTACTGAGAACAGTTGGAGATGTTTGTTTCAAATGACTTTTTAAAAATATATATTATATTGAATTTTTACAGAGAGGAAGAGAGAGGGATAGAGAGTTAGAAACATCGATGAGAGAGAAACATCGATCAGTTACTTCCTGCACATTTCCTACTGGGGATGTGCCCGCAACCAAGGTACATGCCCTACCTTGACCAGATTCGAACCTGGGACCTTTCAATCTGCAAGCCAACACTCTATCCACTGAACCAAACCAATTAGGACTCAAATGACTTTTATTTGTGCCAAAACTAAATTGAAAACTGCTTACTGGCAGGATAGGTAGTGTTGCTCGTTGGTAAAGTTGACTGAAGAGAGAATTTAGGGAAGCTTAGGTGGAGAGGTTTTGTTGTAGAGGTATCTTCACTTGGTGAGGATGTAAAGGACAGAGCTTCACAGTCTGTGATTTCTAATATTCAACTAGGCCTGCTACTAGTTCTTATAGGGATCTTTTATTTTATTTTCTTTCCCAGAAGGAAGAACACATGCTATGAAATGTTCTGCCAGACCTGTAAAGGAGGCAACATACAGAACATAGAAAGTGTTTTTATGAGAAAAGTGATGTTCATGCAGAAAGCTTAAAGAGCATCAGAGCCATGTCTTCCGAAGTGATTCCAAGATGGCATTACTAAAAGGAAATATTTGGAAGAGATAATTCTAAGTCCCTTTTGGGTTTCACATTGGTTCTTCTCCCCTTCGTTTACTGAATTCTACATCTTGTGAGACTACATTTCAGAAACAGAGCCAGCTTTCTTCCTGTGTGTGGTGGGGAGAGAGAAAGGACACAACTCACAAAAGTGACAAAAGCAATAGTAAAAAAAGGTTGCCAACAAACCTGGTTTTAGTTTTGGAATTGGAAGTGATAGTTACTCTAAGGGCAAGCAGTATGATTATTTAATTTAATGAAAACAAACTGTCCAAACTAAGAGAATGGAAGAGTGTTCTTAGCAGCCTTGCAATGTGCACCAACTAAATTGGTTTCAAGTGTGAAAATGGCTCAATGACTCTTTGAACTATAATAAGACCCAATCAGCAACACAGAAAAACCCAGCAGACTAATTATCATAGATTTTCCACTATAAAGCTGACCACCACATCATCCAACGATGTAAAATTCTAGAAACTTTACAAAATTTCTCTTTTTAAAATTTATTTTTTGTTATCAAAGAGAATGGCCAGAAACATTGAGTACTAAAGAATCTGTTCATGGCATTGTTTTACAAAAGTTCCTAATGGAATGAGAATATTTTATTTCAATGTATCTCCTTCATTTATTAAAGATGAGGTGGATGAACTGATGCAATTAATTAAAAAAAAAATTCCAGACAAGAACATCCATTCTCATTCTGAATCTGCTGACTGGAGTGAATTCAGTGGTTGCAATACCACCACCGACTAAGAATCCACCTCCCAGCGGTGGGGAGCTGTTCAAGTCTTCTCATCAGGTCTCTCAGAGATAGGCACCATGTTTGAAGTCTCACACAAATGTCTGTGTCACTTAAATTACAATGTGGCAGTGTTTTTCTCATGGAGACATAATCTTGAAAGAAGAAGCAAAGTCGAAAACCACCTGCTTGCATGTTATATGTGAGTACATTATTGGACTGTGCAGGGGTTTGGGGCATTGTAGCCCTTGTTAAAGAGAAATTCCACCAACAAAACATCTGTCAGTTCTCAGCTGCTCCTGATGCTGAGGGTGTTTACTCATTTAATCGCGTGTTGTTAGGATGGGGCTTTCTTCATCTACTGTTTGGCTCAAATAGTTTGAACTGAGTTTAGTTGTCCTTTTCCTTCATCTTAAGCTTTATTTCTCGGCCTCAGGATATGTGGGGTACTGGACTGTCTCTATCTTCTCTTGGACTTTGTAGGAGGGATATAAGCCCGTCCTTCCTAGTTTCCTGTTGACACCTTTAGAATAGCCATCCCAGTGATTTCCAGCCACACCGATGATGTCTCCAGGTTCCATGGGAATTTCCTCTGCAGTTCGAGGCTCGTGAGAATAAATGGCAATCTGGTTGTGGGCATTTTGGCCCCCAAAATAGTAGATGTCATCCAAAGAATGGAAGTTTGCAGAGGCATCAGGATGCAGTGTTTGCATGATTTCATAAGCGACTCGGCAGACCTTGGGAAATAATTTTTAAAAAATTATTAGTATATGTAAGATTCCCTTCAGAACCATCTAAAAGTCCTGAGCCAAAGACACCAGAACTAGACTAGGACTAGAACTGAGAGAGTGAGAAGTAGTGGATTCTAGTCACAAGTTTCCAGTCCATTTCTCTCAAGTGATGGTATAGCATATAGCATAAGTCATTCTTCATTCTGCGCTTGCATCTGTGGTTTCTTTGTTTTTTAACATAAAATATTACAAATAAGGTCTCTGGGAGAAAAAACATATAATGCAAAGTACTTTAAGAATATGATTCAGATAATTTTAATAAACATTCATTAAGAATTACATAGTACTCCATGTTGGACACTGGTGGTATAAAATGAGTAAGACATAGTTTGTGCCCTTGAAGACTTTAAGGTTAGAATTAGGATTATAAATACTTTACAAAAATGCTGCTGCTCCCTTTCCTTCATCCAGTGTTAATCAATCACATACTCTTTTCTGCTAATTTGAACTTGACCTCAGGACTCTTTTCAATAGAAATTCATGTAATTACTGACAATCTATAAGCACTGGCAAGTGAGCAAAATGTATCTACCATTTCAATTTTAAAGAGTTTTAAGTGTGCTGGGTAGGTAGTAGCATTCTAGCCTTTGGGGAAGATGCATCTATCTGATGAATTTAAGGCTACTTAAAAGATTTCTGTCCAAAGAATACTATTATGCCCACTGAATGGATGTCAGCTGAAATTCCACAACCTGAGCATCATTCATTGATCATTCAATGCTTGGTGATTAAGTTAAACTGTAACTATCTTCATGGAAATATAACATTTTAAACAATTAATAAATGCATTTATTATAGTATAAATAGGTTGCAGAAACTCTTATAAGAATAGTGAAGAAATAAGAGAGAATGCTATCATTTTGCTTAGAAAATTCTTCCAATATGCATTGTGGACAGAGAACTCAACTCATGTCAAATTTTCTTAAATCTCCAGTTGTAGTTATCTCAGTTAGTGAAGTTTTATTGTCCCTGTACCAATAGTCATAGAACTAGACACAGAACCAGGACAATGGCCTTCCATTCGAACCTGCTACTTCATCATCAAACTAATTTTATATTGGGAATGTTATGGTACAATTGAAAACACTGGTAGGATACTAAGACTAAAATAGGTAGGATACAAATAAGGCTAAAAAGATTTGGAACTTGAACTTTAAATTCAGCCAAAGGCCCACAGGGGACAAGCAAAATCAAGGGAAGGCTCTGGAAAGGAAAAAAATGAAAAAATTAAAAGAAAACAGCTCTAATAATAGCAAAGTACAAAAACAATAATAGAGGCTAATGTTTACTGAGTTTTTGCTGTCAGCTAGTGTTTTTAGGTATTATCTAATTTAATCCCCTCAATAGCCCTATACAATTCTATCATTTATTTTACAGATGTCAAAGGTCAATTTAAAAATTTTCCCAAGGTTACACTATTATTAAGTGTTAAATTCAGGTTTTGAACACAGGCTGTCTGTGTATGCTACTTAACTGCTAAGCATATTTTCTCTTATAGATGCTGTTCTCCATGTTTGGACTATAACACCAAAAAGATAAAACATAAGGCCAGGCTGGCTTTGGGCAAATCCGAGAGTCTTCTTTTCAGGGCCTGTCCAGGCAACTCTTCAATCATCTTTACCCACAAATGCATGACCTTGTATTGACTGATCTTGGGATGACCACAAGGCCCACTGTGGCAATGAACCCTAATGTACTTCCTCCTTTCCACCATTAAATATCCCAGTCATAAAAACATTACCCCCAGTCCCATATCCTGAAGCCTTCTTTTGGGGGAATAATCTTATTATCAGTTTATGTTCTGTATCAACAATTGTTGATATGTTAGTCTGCTGGATGACATGTATTTTCTTAAGCCAAAGTGATAACGAACAGTAGAAATTTCAGACATCAAGAAGAAGCAATTTAAGACTCTTTTTCTTTGTCATATTGGTGAAAATCATAGCAGCCGAGGTTAATGAGTACTGATAATGGTCCAGCTACTGTTTTAATATGTTTTTGCTTGCATCTTTTTCAACTCAAAAACTCATAAGAACCCTAAAGGTGGCTATTATTACTCACATTTTATAGATGAAGAAACTAAGCAACAGAAAGATTAAGTCAATTTCCAAAAAGTTAAAAAATTAAAATAAAAAAGGGCAAAGAAAAAAAGGAGCTAGTAATTGGTAGAGCTACAATTAGCACTCTCTCTGGCTCTCAACCACATACTAAACTGCCTTGGGATAAGTATCTAGAGCAGTGCCTGCCACATAGGCACTCAATAACTATCTGTTGAGTGAATACTGTTCCATGCATAATGCCAGCCAGCAGTGGAGATGCAAGTCCACAAGGGATACTTTAATCCTTAAGCTCCATATATAACATTCTGAGTAATTAAAAGTTTTTCTCTATATCAACAGTGGGGCAATTTACTGGAAAAGCTAGAAGAATTACTATAATGTTGATGTTTGCATTTAATCACTTTAGGCTTCTTCTCTGGGTCTTACAAGTCCAAATCATGTGGCAGGTAAATGAAGGCTTTCACCTGATCAGTACTCAGGTTTGATACCTGACAGGTAGCATGATTGATGAGGCAAACCCTTTGGTTTGCAAAGCAGTAGCTGGCCACATTTTGTATCTTTTATTTCATTCTGTTTTGACATGGCATTATGTCATTTTTAGAACACCAATAAACACAAGGTAATGTGTAAGAACAAAAATCCCGATAAAGGATAAAACACAGATATGACTGTATTAAAAATAACAATTAAAAAGGAGAGAAAGATCCATTAGTCTGAATTTTATCCCTGAGGAACAACTAGCTGAGTTCGCATGAGTGTCCAAAGCTTTCTCAGAGCAGCTGAGATATCCTTCCCCCCCCCCCCTTTTTTTTTTCATCATAGACAAGGCCAAGAGGATCTCTAGTGTGCAAAGTAATATGTTTTTTTTCCACTGCACTTTCCAAAACCACATTCAGGTGTAGTGAGGCCAGTTATGCTACATGTGGACTTGGAATTAGACAATGCAGAGTGTCAAAAGAATGCTTTCAAGTGTCACAAAGGGAAGTGTCAAAGGGGAAAATAAGTAATTTTGTCTTGTGGTGATTTTAATGCTGGAAGAAGGAAAGCAAAGCATCAAGCACCTCCCTTGAATCTCAGGGCCTACTGACACGTAAAGTTGGTAATATTCAAACAAGTATTTATTTATTGAAGTTTATTTTTATTTATTTTTAAAATATAATTTTATTGATTTCAGAGAGGAAGGGAAAGAGATAGAAGCATCAATGATGAGAATGCTCCTGCATGCTCCCTCCTGGGGATCAAGACCGCAACCCGAGCATGTGCTCTGACCCAGGAATTAAACAGTGAACTCCTTGTTTATAGATAGTCATTCAACCACTGAACCACACTGGCCGGGCCAAATTCATTGGATTTTAGAGCTTTATGACTAGAGCAGTGGTTCTCAACAAGGGCGACTTTGCCCCTACAGGACATTGGGTAATGTCTGGAGACACTTTTGTTTGCCACAACTTGAGGTGGGAGTGCTACTGGCCAGGGATGCTGTTTAGTATCTAAAATGCACAGGACAGTGCCTAACAACAACTTTTCTGGCCCCAAATGCCAATGTTGCCCAGGCAGAGAAACCCTTGACTAGAGGAACAAACTTAGGCAGGCCCACAGTCTAGGCCCACAGAGGAAGTGGTACATAGAATGATTTACACTTTCTCAGAATACCCATTCAAAAATGTGTGGAGGTTGGTACTAGTTATTTGCACCTGTTATCCAAGTAGACACACAGTCACACCGTCAAAATAGTTGAGAGAGACCAAGAATAGAAAAGGGAGCTTCTCAAAAACAAGATTGTGGCCCTAATTAGGAAGAAACATCAGCAGTGGATGCTTCATGGGAACCTGACAGCCAAGGAAGTATTCCTCCTGACTAGGATTGCTGCCTATGTGACTTCTGTACTGTGTAGCTGTTTTTTTTGTTTTGTTTTGTTTTGTTTTGTTTTGTTTTTTTGGGGGGAGGGTAGTAAGTTGTATTCCTATTCCATATTGAAGAAGCTCATATAGCCTTGGCATATAGGTAGGCATCTTTCCAACAATCATATCACCATCCCACTCTGACAATGTGCATTGTCACATAATAGAAAACTGTCCATTTATTTATATTTGCATGAAAATGATGTGGATTTCCTCTTCACATTTTCTCTTCTCAACTTCATCTAAGCTTTTAGGCATATATTATTCTTACATAATTTGTATTTCTTTGTATTGTAACTCACATGTTATTTCATGTGAGTATTTGTATCTTCATCTCCTTTGGAATCCCCTCTACACCTAGTATAAATCTGAGTACAAATGGTTGTTTTGCAAATTTTGAATGAACTACCAAGTAATATGCACATAAATGAAAGAGCAGAATAAAATCTACAATAAATATTGCTATGGTGATATTCCACTGGGAAATATGAGCTGCTTGTACCACTCAGAAAAACAGATACACCTAACCCATAACACATAGTTATCTACAACAATTACTCTCAAAACATGATTGTAATATGGTATTGCTTAAATTTAAAGTACAGTTCTTTGCTTGGTAGAAATGTAATAAGATTTGAAAAAGAATTACATTTACTCTTTCTTATGCTCTATAAAGCAATTGATACAAAATGCTGGGCACTTAAGCCTCTCAGTATCAGTGCATCGATAGTACAAATGGATGGATTCTGGTTAAATATTGACTGTGTGCAAAATCAGAAAATATTAAGCAAGCTTAATTACCTGCTGTTTCTGTTTAATGCTGTGAACAAGCTGAGCACTTTAAACAACTCTAGTAGCTGGCTTCAATGGAGATGTATTCAACCATTGCTTGCAAACAACTAAATATTCAATGCACCTAAACAGCTATGTTTTGGGGGAATCTTCTCATGCTTTCACAAAAATTCTAATTTGCAAATATTAGGAAAATTTCATCAGAATCACGATAACTAACATTTAAAAAAAGCCCTAGCCAGTTTCACTCAGTGGATAGAGTATCAACTTGCAGACTGAGGGTCCTAGGTTCAATTCCCATCTAGAGCACATACATCAGTTGCAGGCTGGTCCCCAGCCCTGGTTGGAGTATGTGTGGGAGGCAACCAATCGATATGTCTCTCTCACATCCATGCTTCTCTCTCTGTCTCTCCCCTCCTTTTCACTCTTTCTGAAAATCAATGAAAAAATGTCCTCAGTTGAGGATTAACAAACAAACGTGCAAGGAAATAAGAACTTCCTGACCCTAATATGACCAAAAAATACTAGCCTCTTAAAAATATTCTACTATCACTTACCTGGGATGAAAAAGTACACACTAGGAAGTCTGCCTGGGAGAGAAAGTGTATATCCAGAATCACACCTCTAAGTGAATTTTCCGTGTATCGATTGTGCAGTCCAGCTGACCAAGAGATAGAGTTATCACTAATAAATTCATAATTGGGGTACCTGAAAAAGAAATAAATTGATACATAGTCACTGAAATCACAGTATCCTATCAGGAGGTAGTATCCTATCAGCAGGAGGCACACTTGCTCCTTTGATTAAGAGTTCCTCTCTTTCTAATAGCAAAGAATGCTTTAAAATGATAACATTCAATAGAGTAGTCAATGTAGTCAATGAAGCTTCTTTGACTCCACTAGTGGGACAGAAACCACTCTGAAGTACCCTTCATGTTAAATGTCATTGGCATGCCATAAAAAATACACACTGACCACATGACCTCACTCATTTGTGGATGATAAAGAACATTAGAAACTGATGATCCAAGAGACAGATATAGAGAAAGTAAAGCAACAGGCAGACTGTCAAATTACAGTGGGGAGGGGAGGAAGATCTGGGGAAGATAATAGATCAACTGAAGGACTTGCATACATGCATATAAGTACAACCAATGGACATAAAACTCTGGAGAGAAAGGGTATGTATGAGAGGGAGGGAGGAGGGCAAAAAAAATCAATAAAAATATATTAAAAAAAAATACACACTGATGTATCAAAATGTCCTTTCTCAATTCATGAAAGAGTTGAAAACAGAAGGCTCCTATTTTCTTTGTAATGAGTGAGCTCTATGAGGTTTTACAAGCTGCTTTCATATTTGGTCACTGAATTTTCCTTTAGAATATAAATACCATGATTAAATTTCATTAAAAATTTTAATTTAGAATTTGTGATAATTCAGACTTATCCTCTAAACACCATCCTTGAAGCACCATCTTAACCAATAACAGTAATATAAACCATTCTAAAACACTTAAGATGGCAAATTTCTTATAGATGTCCACCCAAGTAACATTTTAGTAGTCTTGAGATAGGATATTTAAAACTATTAGAACAGATTGTGTTTAAAAAGTCTACCATATGTTCAAATGATTCTATTCTGAATTAGAGATATAATTATACTCTAGTATAGAATGAATACATTTTCTCAGTGCCTGAGGTAGATCTTCAGAGTTAAAATGCCAACTTTGAGAAGTTACATGAAAAGGAGATAATAATTATACCTACTTCATATATTTCATAAGCATTAAGTAAATACACTAAGCAATATAAACTATTTAGAAGAGTATCTGACATGTGGCAAATGTTCAATACATATTGCTTATAACTATTAATATTAAACATTTCCCCAGACATCGATCTGGTTTTATTCCTTACTTCTTATAGATATCTGCTCAAATATAGCCTTATTAGTATGAACTTTGGCAACTGGTATCCCTTTTACCTGCTTAATTTTTCTCCATGGCTCTTATTATCATTGCACATAACATATACACTGCTTATTTACTGCATGTATCCATTCATTCCCCCACCTCCACCATCCCTAACTGAAGAGAGGCATTTCATCTATTTCATTCACTCTATTATTCTTGGCACCTATAAGACAATCTGGGATGTAATAGAGGATCACTAAGTATTTGTTGAAAAATTATAATTCTTATTTATAAATCCTGAAATATTATGAGTCACTTTACTGTCTGTCTCCACACAGTATTCCCCCCCAAATTGGGACTAAGCCTAACTTTTCTTTGCATCACAGTACGTAGCATTCCACACAACACTGAATAAATTCACAAACAAGGGGATGCTATCTGTGCCTGGGACTTTTTCCCAATCCCCTAACAGCTGCTTTGGATTTCACAGCCACCAGGGAGCTCTCTCTCTCATTGCCTCTGAGGACGACTGTGAAGGTAAAGTCTCTGAGCACTGCTTCAGACTGGTGTTCAGTGTTTGGATCCATTTGGCCTCATTATTTCTGACATTTTGCCCTCCTCAGCTCCAAATCAGGGAGATGAAGGAACTCTCACATTTATTCTAAAAAGAAAACAGCCAAAAAGACTTTTAATGTTATTCCTGCAAAGCTGCATACCCCAGCATGGGGCAGAAACAGCGATAAATAAACATGAAAAGTTTGGAGGGTAGAGGAGAGGTTGAATTATCAAAGCACACCAGCAAAGATTTTATCCTTGAATAAAGACCAATTTAGTCAGCATGATTTGGGTGCTCAGTGAAACAAAAGAGTGATCCTTCCACTGAGAAGGGACACTAAAATTAATGCCTTTTTAACTTAAAGGTCCCTCCCTGGAACCAAACCAAAAGTTCCTCAGGCCTTATCTCTATATGCAACCACTCAATGAAGGAAACTGAGAGTAGAAAAACAAAAAAACACAGAAAAATTGGATGGAGAGTTTGTATCTCCAATAATGAGCATGGAACTTTCTGTACAAACATGTTTCTTTTTTGTCTCTTGTTCACAAACATGTCAGCAGAGCAATTCTCCCATTGTGAAGTTGCAGAGGTTGTCAAGGAAAAATATTTTTTCTTCTTCTACCTCATAAAATATATTTTTATATCACCAACAAAGCTAACATCAAATTTTCTTTTCTGAAATCTTTCTCCAGACAGAAGACGACACTCCTCTTCATCACTCAGAAAATTAAACAATTTTTGAAGAGAAAAATATGCATAAAAGGCTATTATGTTTATCCTATCCTATATAATCCTATATAATAAAAGGGTAATATGCAAATTGACCAGGAACAACCAGTTGCTATTATGTGCATTGACCACCAGGGGGCATACGCTTAACTCAGGAGCTGCCCCCTGGTGTTCAGTGCACTTCAGCCAGAAGCCGGCTCATGCCTGGCCAGAGCAGCAGTGGTGGTAGGAGCCTCTCCCACCTCCATGGGAGCAGTAAAGATCCCCTGAGAGCTCCCGGGCTGACAGAGGGATATCTCACTGCGATAAATAAACATGAAAAGGCCGATCCCCCAGGGAGAGGGCCTAAGCCGGCAGGTGGTCATCCCCCGAGGGGTCCTGGAATGTGTGAGGACACAGGTCGGGTTGAGGGACCCCCCTACCAAGTGCATGAATTTTTGTGCAATGGGCCTCTAGTAATAGAATATGAAGGAATTTGCTGCCTAGACTGTAAGGGGGAAAGGAGTTACTAGCTGCTGGCCACAAAAAGAAAATCCAAGTTTTACTACTGCCATAATCTAAGTACTGTCAACTGTAATACAGAAGAAGGGTTGTTCGGTATAAAAATATAATATGGTGTTATGGATCAAAGCTGTAGATTCGCAGATACTTTTATCTAAATACTTCCAAGTCCATAAATGTTGCTTAAGGAAATAATGAAGATAATTTTAGGTACATATCCTAACATTATTTATGAGATTAAAAAACTGTGGATAATCTAATTATCCAATATTAGGGGAATGGTCAAGTAAGCAATAGAATATCCATAGAGTCGCTATGTAGTTATTAAAAAATATATATTTATAATGATTTTTTAGTGACTTGAGAAAACTGATTTATTGCTATATTAATAAAAAAAGATTTCAAATTATATAGAATGTAATAAACTACTAAAATAGTGTAACTATGTACATGACAGAATAGAATATGTCAAAATTGAAGCAGTTATTATCACTGAGTAATAGGATTTTGGGCATTATTTTTTCCTTGCTTGTATAATTACAACTTCCATATTTTCTAATGAGCATGAATTATTTTGTTAATCAAGGAAAAAAATTTTTTTTAAAGTTTATAATGTATTTGAGAACAAATAAAAGAATAGTTAAAATTATTTTTTAAATATTTTTTTCAACTAAGATGTAAATTCAGTGTGGAATTTTAAAATGAAGGAGCATGGTGAACAATTTCTACTTCTCTCTAACAGGTTTAGATATCAAATTGGAAAAATACTTGTGAAAACTTTCTATTGTATTTTGTGCCCAAACACTCATTTAATCTCTAATTCTTATATAAGAATTATAATTATATAACTTGGTTTATACTTGGCTGGTGAATTTCTTGATTCTTATTTATAAGTGTGTGTGTGTATGTGTGTGTAGTCAATAGAGACAAGAAAAAAAAGTCATTTATATCAGGTTAATCTGAATTCTTAGGAGGTAGAAATAAGATTTAAATTATTACCTAATGATTTGGAGAAACACCTGCGTTACAGTCCTCATCCTAAATTTTCTTCCCAACCCCAATTTGTGACATAAAAAAGGGATTGAGAAATAAATAAATTAGTCAAATAGCTTCAATTATTAATAAAATGCTTTCAGACTGATGGAACTGAAGTAAACATAATTCAGAATCATCCCACAATGTTTGGTATCTGAGCAGAGCCATGACTATAGTTTTCTTCTCCCCATTCCCTACTTATACATATATTTAATGCATTCCATATTTATTGGTAATAAATAAAGGCCAACGCTAGGTTCGTCCAGATCCTATAATAAATTCCCAATTAGGATCAGTGCTTTATGTTTTCATAACACCCAATGTTAATTCTGTAATAGCACTACTCATTCTGTAGAACAATTGTCTGCTCCCCACCTAGAAGAGAAATTCCTTGAGAGTGCCCAGCACCTAGCACAGTGCCTGAAATCTAGACAAGTTCAATAAATGATGGTTACTCTTCCATACATATTAGTCCTTCTCCTGAACTTACAAAACTTACCTTTTGATTGTTTATGTTTCTTTAATATAACTTCCAAATTCCAGAAATTTTTATAAAATGAAAACTTATATCTTATTTATGTTTTCAGTTGCCTGTAATTGTTAGTGAAAATATGAGACAAAACGGCAAAAGTACCTATGTGTTTTATTGGTAAAGGTTAGTGTGATGGACTGAATATTTGTGTCCCCCCAGAATTCATGTGTAAGCCCTAACCCCCCAGTGTGGATGGTATCTGGAGATAGGGTTTTTGAGAGGTAATTAGGGTTAAATAAGGGCATTAGGGTGGAATCCTCATAATGGAATTAGTGTCTTTATAAGAATAGACACTAGAAAGTTTGCTGTTTCTTATAAGCACACAAAGAAGTCATGTGAGGTCACAGAGATGACGTTGCCTACAATCCAAGAAAAGAGGCTTCAGAATGAATGTAACTTTGCTGGCACCTCACAATTGTTTTGATGACATTAACAAGTTACACAAGTGCACAGTTATTGAATTTAAAAACCCCAATAGTCAGTAGTAGTATAAAACAAGAATCACAAGTCATGGGAATAAAGATTCCTTTCAATTGAAAAGAGCCCCACTCTAGAATCACTACTTCATCTAACTTACTTAGTTTTTGCCTCCTTTAATAAAGAAGGGTCATCTGTGGCCAAATACACTCTTTTTTTATCCACTTGCATCCTGCGAGCGAGAAGCTGAAAATGTTCTTCAACATGCACCATGTACTCCTCAATGGGATGGAAGGCAGCTTCTGTTCCCACCTTGTCTGTGCGTCTGACGTGGACTCTGGAGGCAGAGGGACAAAGTCAGATTCTGCTGCTAATACTCTGACCCTCTGGGTGCTCTTAGGGTACTCAACACCCCTCCCTCCCCCCCATTCATGGCATTATGAACATTTAAAGCTGTCTTCCTTTCATTTTTTGCTATTGAAAAAATAAAGTAAGTATTAAAAACTTCAAACACTTATATCTTAAGTATATTAACATAATACAAGGGGAATTTTAAAAAGCAAGTAAAGTCTTTAAAGAGTGCTTCCTTATAGAGAAAGTAATTGGCATATCAGGAATAAGTGGGAGATTCCAGAGTTCTATTCCATACGAGGCTACAAAATGCCAATTAGCCTTCCAGAAAAAAAACTGGATATAACAATATTTTTGACGACAGTTTTTCTTATAGAACATTAAATGTATTAAACGTTTTCATGCCAAGTTATCTTTTTCTTCATTTCACCCTGTTGGTCACTCAGTTACTGCCATCTTGTAGAATTTAAAGTCTCCTGAAGAAAACACAGACTTTGCATGCATTGTTCCTATGGCACAGTCAAAGCAGGCAAACCTCTGAAGGCTCCTTACTATTTTTAAGTTCATAGAGTTGTTCCAGCCCTTTTGTTGTAGGCATAATGAATTTCCTTTTCCTGTCTTTCACACTCTATCAAACACAAGCAGATACTGATCGAGCTTATCTGTTCTATTTAAGAAAAGCTCCAAAATTATAAAATTGGGGACACAGAGGTTTACACCGTCTGCACGAAAGACTGCATTGACTTCCACAGTATTCTCTTCCCATCTTATTGCTTTCAAAGCGATTTTAATGAAAATAAGAACAACAGTAACCATAGCTTGTTTTCATAAATTAAACTCTCCTGAAATTTGCCTTTTCTGTATTCCTCCTCTCCCCAAGTTATTACACTACTATTCATATGTGGGAAAAGGGAAAACGGAGACTTGTTTCCCTTTAGGTCAAGCAAAGGCCATCTTTTATTATGAATCTGGGTGAGGGTTTGATTTCATTGAAGTTACTCTGGCATCTTCATGGCTATTCTTCCCTTTGCCTTCCAGGCTATAGTCCAGATGTGAATACTATATTATATGAATATTTCTATCATCTTTTCCTTCCCACATCCTTCTTAATCACTGCTTCTCTCAGAAAATTGGAATTGTTCACTGTGCTCCAAAGAGACGAAGAGGGACTAAAAGAACAATTCCATTAAATTTCAGTGAAAATTTTCACGAGATGAAACACTATTTGATACTGATTTCACCTTGTACTTTCTTTAGCTTTAAAAAATATATATGTTTTTAATTATTTCAGAGAGAAAGGAAGAGGGAGAGATAGAAACATCAATGATGAGAGAGAATCATTGATCAGCTGCCTTATATACAGTTGATTGAGCCCACAACTTGAGCATGTGCCATGACTGGGATCAAAAGATGATCGTCTGGTTCATAGGTCCACATTCAACCACTAAACCACACCAGCTTGTCTCTTTAGCTTTAACATTTGGAATAGGGCCAGTAACTTCTATACATATGAAAACTAAGACACAAGGGAAGAAGGAGGGGTGAGAGTTATGAAAATAAAAACAGGAACACGGGAGAGATGTAACAAAGAAGAATCAAAGGAAGCGGAGTGTGCGGCAGTGGCAGAGTACTCCCACTAGCAATCTTCTCAATTCACCCAGTCCTCCTGAAATTAGGCCTGGACCAATATTTTGATGGAGGATTATAACAAAATCTCTACAGAAGAATCAGAATGTGAGACCTGTGAAGGATATAAGTCATTTCATTTAGTGTAACTCTTTCACCTGACAGTTAAGGAAACTGATGCTTCTGAAGACATTCTGGTGAGCACATATAAGGCATTTCACCCTAGCCAGCTTAGCTCAGTGAATAGAGCATTAGCCTGCGGACTGAAAGGTCCCAGATTCGATTCCAGCCAAGAGCACATGCCTGGGTTGCAGGCTCAATCCCCAGTAAGTGGCATGCAGGAGGCAGCCAATCAATGATCTTCTCTCATCATTGATGTTTCTATCTCTTTCCCTTTCTCCCTTCCTTTCTGAATTCAAGAAATATATATATTTTTAAAAAACAACATAAGGCATTTCAACCCAAGTCTTCACAAAAGTACAAGTTATTAGTGTACCTAACTGATTTTCACTATTAGATATTAAGTTTTTTTATTTATTCACAATTCAACAAACAAAATGAATAAATGATAGGTAGATACAAATATCTGTTTAGTATTATGTCAGTAAAAACAAATATCATTTAATCTAATGTTTTGTTTATAACAAATGAGGAATGGGTAACAATTAATGAAGGCCCATAATGAGCAAGTAAGTTGTCTAAAGTCACATAAATTTGCTAGTGGTGTACGCTAGATGGGATGCAGATTCCTAAGTCCTAGTGCACTCCTCTCTCATTACAGCATACCACCTAACTTGCAAATAAATTAGTTGTCAGTGCTACTTCAATTTTCTACACTTGGCCAACTTTCCATCTGATGGATGGTCCATGGAAAATTAATAAGGTTTGCTTTCTGGTATATAAAACTACAGGATAGCCCAAGTTAAGAAGGTTCTGGAACTTTCAGCAGAGATTTTCTTTCCTTTCTTTTCTCACCTCTGAAATAATTATCTCTGCCCACTTCACAGGACTGTGTTACAGGATCAATGAGGTAATATAGTTGGAAGTATTCTGGTAATGTAAGTATTACAGTGTTATCTTTCTCCATCTTTAAGACAGTTCAAACACGGCAGCTGTGAAGCCTTTCCCGATCCAGACGGAAGTATGTTTCCCTTCCCTGACCTCGTTTAAGGCTTTTAATACTTCTCCTGTGGTATTTATCATGTTTTACCCCATATAATGTCAGTTATGTAAGTCTCTTATCCAGAGACTTATGAACCAAAAGGAGCCATTTGAAAAAAAATTAATCGCTGCTCCCCACAGTAACAGGTATTCAATATATGCTTTGTAAATAAGTGAGTGAATCAGCAATCTAATAAAAGAGTAATATGCTAATTAGACAGGGTCAACTGGACATCTACCGGTCATTGGGTCTTCCTTCCAGACAAAGCCACGGTGGTGGGAGCCAAGGCAGAGGCAATTAGGGGCCACCAGGCTGACAGGCAAAGGGAGTAGGGGCTAGCAGGCAGGCAGGCAAGTGGTAAGAACCAGTAGTCCCAGATTGTGAGAGGGATGTCTGACTGCCGGGATCAGGCCTAAACCGACAGTTGGGCATCCCCCAAGGGGTCCTGGATTGAAAAGGGTGCAGACTAGGCTGAGGAAAAACACCCCCACCTGCACGAATTTCATGCACCAGGCCTCTGTATATTAATATTAATCAATAGCTTACTTTATCACAAACAGCATAAGTAACAGAATGCCATAGTCTAGTTTACAAGTCTATTTTCAGTATTAGTCTCTCTGAAAGGTAATAATATTTTACAGTGCATTTTCCCCCCAATCCTTTTTTAATCCTAATATTATCAAATTCATAATTTTAAGGGCAGGTATTTTAAGTTTAGTAGGAACTCTGTTTTACAGATGGAAAAATCAAAACACAATACTACTATTAGGTAAGTTGGCCCAGAAATAGAGAAAAGTCAGGACTATTACCCATGCCACCTAACTCCCAGTCCAGTATTCTTTCCATTGTGCAAAGAACATTTCCCATAGTGTGAAGTCTGGCATCAGGACCTATGAAAACTAGTTTTCCCATATTTGTATATATAGGGGCACACACTTGTCAGCAAATGCTCTTTTGGATATTTCTTACTCCAAGGATTTCCTGACATATCTCCGGTAACATAAGCACCATACTGAATATATATACATATTGTAACTTCCAAGTGGGTCAAGATTCATTTTAAATAATAATTTTAGCATTATCTTACAGTACAAAATGATATCCTTATTCTCAAAATAGCTTCCAGGACAGAAAAGAAAACAGAACATCAAAAAAGCAAAATAATCACCCGTGGCAATTAATGAAGCCTAAGAATAAGGTGAAATCGGAAAGCTATACATGTGACAGCTTAATCTCATGGTCTTTTTGGGTATGACATGATCATGTATAATATCCAAAATACTCCCAATAAAATGACACCTTGCTGGTTTTCCCTGGAGAAACAGCTAATTTCAGAAATATGGGCTTAATTCATTTGTCAAGTAAATAAATAAAACAAGGGTGACAAAGTATGATGACTCAGCCATTCTAAGTAAACAAAGGAAGACTAATCTCCCTAGGGCCTCAGGTGAACTTTACAACCCGTTTTTTGAGTGGAGCAATGAAAATTAAACTATAGATTGTAAAGTTCCCAATATATGATAAAGATATATATACCTGCTACTCCACATCCCTGTATGAGGAACAAATCAGATTCTCACCCAATGACTGGATGTTTGAAGCCAAGCTTCTTGGTGGCCTCTTCTATCTCCTTTTCCAGCCAAGGTTGTGGGCGGATCAAGTATTTGACAAACTGCGACACCCACCACACTGCAGGGTCACCATGAACCTGAACAAGTCGATCTGCAAGGTCTTCTGGTACAGCCAGGGGTAAGTATGGAGGACGAGGATGAAGACTGTCCACAATGGGGAGCTCGACCACCTGAACATCTTTGTCGTTTATTTCACCTGAAAGAACATCAAAACATCATCATCACCACACTACTGTTCATTTTGGGTGCTTTCATCTTCATAGCATCTCTACAGGAATATAATTTTCACTTTACCAAGAAAGTTAAGTAACTTGCCCAACCTGTTAGTACTGAAGTGGCAGAGCTCAAGTTCACATTTGGGTTGGTGTGCCTCTCAAGTGCATAGCTTTTCTTTTCTACCATAATATGCTGCCAAAGCAACACCTCCACACCAGATAAGAATGGTATTCAGAACTCAAAGCAGCTCATCAGAGAATAACCATATTGCCAGTGGACACAGCCACCCAGGCCAAGTTCTGTTTTTTATAATTTTTGTTGTGTTTTTTTTATAATTAGACATAAGTATTCTCAAAACTTGCAGCTTGTCATTATAGCAAATGGCTCTTGCACTACTTTCATGACAGAGCAAATGATTCTGAAGATATACAATTATAAGCCAAGGATCTATATCTTTTTAAGAAAAAAAAATTAGATTATTCTAAAGTCTTTTTTATTCTTTGGCCAAAATAGGTCTATTATATTCAAGATTATGATAACAATAGAATCTGTGTTTACCTGGATATTGATTTAAAGTTACAATAGAGATTACATACTAATTTATATAGATAGTGATTAGTTTCAGAATCCAACTTCTACATGTCATTAATATTACTGTTCTATCAATATTATAATGAATGAGAAGAACTGAAATGTGATAGCCAGCATTACTAAAGTTTAATTTAATGAGAACTGAAATGTAATAGCCAGCATTCCTAAAGTTTAATTTACATATTAAAGATCACATAATAATAACTAGAAGACACAAAGATACCAGGCAGAGAGATTTCATAAATATAAAATGTACTGAATTAAATTTTCATTAACAAAAAGTATTAACCTGAACATAAAAGATAACTCAAGTTAAGATGTTGTCAACCTATCTAATAAAAGAGTAAAGTAAAATTAACCATCACTCTGCTACACTCACAAGCCATGCTCACTAGCTAATCAGGATTGAGTATGCAGATTAACCCAACCAAGATGGCTGTGGCCACAGAGAGAGCAGAGGATCCTACCAGGAGGCAAGAACGATTTTCATGCCCTGGGCCTCTAATTATGTATCATATAATGAATTAGAATCACAGTTAACCATTAAACCATTAAAGAATGTACTTGTAGAGACTAATCTTAGAATACATTTAAAATGTATTCACCAGAAGAAATACACTGGGTTTCTCTGGCAATGAAAGAAGCCAAGTTTCCCATATATCCTAGCCGGCCCAGGTCTTCACTCAAGGCTACAAAGTTTCAATAATAGAAGATAAAAAATCCCAACAAAAATAGCGGCAGCCACAGAGCAGGAGAAAGCAGGAGGCTTGGGTTGGCCCTGGCAATGGAGGAAGCCAAGCTCCTGCAGCCCTGGCCCGCCTTGACCTCTGCTACAAAGTTTCAATTATAGAAGATAAATAAATCCCAGATACCAGGGCCTCTGCTTAGGTCACCGGGGGGGGGCATAGCCGGCCTGCAAACCACCACAGGACCTCATGTCCCAAGGGAACCCCCACTCTGACCCAGGACAACCTTCAGGGCAAACCAGCTGGCCCCCACCTGTACACCAGGCCTTTAGCCCTTTATCTAATAAGAGTAATATGCAAATTGACCATCACTCCAACACACAAAATGGCTGCCCCCATGTGGACATAAGATGGCCAGCAGGGGAGGGCAGTTGGGAGGACCAGGCCTGCAAGGGAGGGCAGTTGGGGGTGATCAAGCCTGCAGGAGAGGACAGTTAGGGGTGGCCAGGTCTGCAGGGGAGGGTAGTTAGGGGCAAAGAGGCTGGCAGGGTAGCAGCTAGGCATCAATCTGGCTGACATGGAAGTGGTGAGGGGGTAATCAGGCTGGCAGGCAGAAGCGGTTAGGGGCAATCAGGAAGGCAGGCAGGCAAGCAGTTGGGAGCTAGTAGTCCTGGATTATGAGAGGAATGTCCGCCTGCCCATTTAGGTCCGATCCTACTGGGAGGCAAGAACGATTTTCGTGCACTGGGCCTCTAATTATGTATAATGAATTAGAATCACAATTAATCACTAAACTATTAAAGAATGTACTTACAGAGACTAATCCTAGAATACATTTAAAATGTATTCACCAGAAGAAATACAGAATCCTCAAATTCTGTTTTTCTGCATTATGCAGAATGTTTTAAAATACATTACATAATCTGGCAATGAAATCACTCAAACCAACCATATAGTTATTAGAAAATTGGTGATATAACTAAGAATTAAAAACTTTTGGCTAATATTCTCTCTTTGATACGTACAACTCATTTCAGGATTCTTAGAACAAAGCCCTTGAAACAAGAAATTTGTTGCAAAAAAAAAAATGGCAATAAATAATTTTACCATCAGTATGGCAGTTCACCTAGAGTGCCAGTTAAGAAAAAGTTGGGCAAGTTTATTATATGGGAAACTGTAACTAAGCATGTGTAGGAAAAGAGTGAGCCACACTTTTTAAAAAATATATTTTATTGATTTTTTACAGAGAGGAAGAGAGAGGGATAGAGAGAAACATCGATGAGAGAGAATCATTGATCAGCTGCTCTTGCACACCCACTACTGGGGATGTACCCGCAACCAAGGTACATGCCCTTGACTGGAATCGAACCCGGGACCTTTCAGTCTGCAGGCCAACGGTCTATCCATTGAGCCAAACCACATTTTGAATTAAACTCTAATACTCTCATGAAGGCCAAAAAAATCGGGGTACTTTCCCTGATGTGGAGATAAAAGAGTAATATATGAATCAGAAAAAAAAATGAGGAAAAGAGAAAGGTAGTTCTTTTTATTTAAAAAAAAAAAAAAAGGAAAACCCTAGCCTTTCATATATGATCATAAACAAAAGCAAAATTAGTAGGGCTACCTTCCTTTTGTAATTTTCTTCTCAGTAAAGTTAAATTGCCTTTTCATGACTGCCCCAGGCATCATTTCCTTACAGATAGCCTTATTGACAGCTTTCAGAAAGAAATGAAAACTATGCCTAGACCTTCAAGACAATTTTATTTTATTTTATTCTTTGTTCACTCATTCAAATATTTGTTGAACACTACTATGTGGCAGACACTATACTAGGCAGAATATAGAGTATATAGAGTGATGACTGGTTCTTGCCTCTATGATTTCCTGCTAAAAATTCTCACCCAGAACTAGAATGCTTTCAAACATCATCACCAAAAATCATATTATCAAAAAGATATCAATTCACTGTTACTCACTGTTTAGTAAAATATTAAGAGAAAAGGGTATATATTTATATAAATACAGGCATAGTATCAAAGTTCAGCTTCCTCAATAATGATATGTTCCAAAATGAAAGTAAATAACAGTACATTTTCTGTTAGAATGTCCCTTCTTTTACTTAGTTTACCACACAGCATTTTTTATCTTGAAATATACAAACGTAACAATTTAAATTGGGAATAGATCCTATAGATAATCTTATTTAGTATTTCCTAAATTTTAGTCATTAAGTACCACCTTTATAGTTTTTATCATATCCATGTATCATCTGCACTAATGTTTTAAAAATTCACTTTTTAAAACTTAAATGAATTTATTTTATAGATGGTAACTATAAATATAACTTCACTGAAAACAAAACCATGTTATTAAAATACATATATATTATTAAAGGGCACAGTGCTCAAGCCAGATTTCTATTTTTAAAAAGGAGATTGTTAGTGAGATTTTAAGGGGTAATAATTGCTTTTCTCCTTACATCTCCTATGTCTAAATCTAAATGAGACATGAGGAGAGGAATAAAATGGCAATCAAAATGTATCAACCTCATTACCAATAAGATGAATTAGAGAATGTGGATTTTTTATTTTCCTTTTCTTTCTATTTATGGTCTCATAGGTTTCCTAATAGTTCCCACCAAATCCTAAGCAAAATTTGTCAACCAAGCCCTACTTAACAGTGGAGGAGAAGGAATATGTGTTCTGAGAATGGGTCATGCCATGAGAGAAGCCAGTCACATTTGGAGCCTCTGCCCTAGCTCACCAGTTGTATAGCATGTTACTTCCGCTGCAAGTGGAAGGGAAATGAGGCAGTCACAAAGAGCAAATAAGCACATCTGTACTTTCCCTTCTAAGGAATGGAATTTACTTCCCACATATGGAAATTCATGTGAAATGAAGGATTTACAGTATCTCTTCCCATCCACCTCTGTCCCCAAACAATTATCCAGCGTTAAGGAATTACTACATGTATCGTGATACCAAATTGAGACTTTGTCTCTTACATACTAATCAATAAGACTGAGAAAGGGATAACTTCCTCAACTGTGATTCAATATTTATTTTAGTACTTTATCAGGAAACTGCCTGAAATTATCTCACATGCCACCTAAAATAATCTGTAGTAATCTGTTATAAGTTTCAGAGTTTGGAAAACATAGATTTATTTAAACTCCCTCATTTTACAGAGGAAATAGACAAAGAGGCTAAATGAACTTCTCAAAGATAATACTAGTACAGCTAATAAATGGGCTAGCATCAGACACTAGAGCTAACTTCATTACTTAACATTATATTCTGCTTTCTGGAACACACACACACACACACACACACACACACACACACACTCACTCACACACACAGTCGTCATAAATCATATAATATTATATACGTATTTTTAAAATCACTTAAGTATGGCCCCTTTGATCAATCAAGAGTGCCCTGCTTCTCTTAAGACTTTACTGTTAAAAATAGTATTATATCAACCTTCCAGCAAGAGACTGATTTATATGTATAAGACATGCACAAGTAAGTCATACACTATTCATTAGTAAAGAATCAGTGCAAAGTAGCCTGGACATTACAAAATTGAGTGCCCAGTTTAACTGGAACGGACATGATCATTATTAATTATTTCAGGAACTCATTTTCAAGACTACTTCCTCTTGCTAATAATCCTTTTTATAAAGTTATTTCTCTTTGCT